CAATCGTTGTCACTGTCACAAACAAAGATTTTAGGTATGCACCGGTCACTATCGTGATGAAACTCATGATCTCCACACAATAACAACACTTATATATTTATATGTATTAACTAGACTTCAGGATTATAAATACACTATTAGTATTAGCTTCTTTTTTTTAAAGATTACTTGACTTTAAGTCTGTTCTTCAAATCCCTTTTGAGATATTATTATTATACATTGAACAAAATTCATTCTTGCCAAAAACACTTTCAGTTAGTCGTGTCTTGTTTGTGGATGCTTTAGCATGAACTTTGAGGTGTAGAAAAACTCGGCTCTGGTAGAAAACTTACTGCAGTTTTTCTCATCAGCGCCGTTAGTACAGTCGGCTTTGCCGTCACATTGCCAGTCTTTTGATATGCACTGGTTCATGGGATCGCCACAGTTGAACTGCGAATCCCAACAGATTTTGACTCCTGAGGAGAGAAACATGAAGCGTGACTCATTTCACGTGACCACAGAGAGACACAGCTTTTTGCTATTATGTCGTAAAGCTTAACAATCATTTGACTTTGTTAATGTGTTTCTGGTTCACTGTGGTGACAGTCTGATCATTTCCTTCATCATGCACATCATCCAAAACTAAATATTTTTAATTTGAATTGTAAGTTAGTGGACTTGCTGTGTTTTTACTGTTTTCTAAATATTAAAGAATTATCAAGAAATTGATCAGTCAAGCATAAAAAAAACTCAAGAATCCCAAGTGTAAGGTGTAGCTGATATGTGATAACATACCGCAGCTAGCGGGCAGCTCATCAGTTCCATCACCACAATCATCACTTCCATCACAAATCCACCTGCGGGTGATGCACCCCCCATTTCCGCACTTAAACTGATTGGCGTTGCATATGTAGGCTGCATCTGTGAAAGACAAAAATCACAACTGGAGTCCAGTGTGCCGTGGGAGTCCATTCATACCTTGCTGGGCATTTGTAGTAACGTGTCGGACATGTGCAGAAGAGGCATAGCGGATATACTGGACAAAGGATGTTGAAAGTACAGCTGCCAAGCAGGAGGAAAAGAGGAAGACCACAGAGAATATTCATGGAAGTAGTAAAGGAAGATGTGCAGAGGGTTGGTGTGATAGAGGAGGTAGGATAAGGTGAAGGCTGATGATCTGCTGGGGGGGGGCTGATAAAAGAAGCAGCCGAAAGAAGAAGACAACAGTGTGTGGGGTTATGAAGCTAAACTGTGCCAAATATAACCGTTCACCATAAAACTATTTGACACTATAAGCCAAGCAAAGTGTTTCTGACTAACAAACAAACATCTGTCCTAGAGGGAAAGTTTTTTTTTCTTTTTTGCATGTAAACAGATGTACTCTTGGTTTTATCACACTTCTCCTTTCTGCATAAGTTTTAATGAAGCACATCAACTCTATTACAACACAGGAGGAAAGAAAGAGTTGGTGAAAAGTTCAATTTCTTACCAGTTTCAGACGAACAATGAACAAGTGTCAAAAGACACCAGCAAGCAGACAGTCCTACGAGTTCCTTCCAAATCTTAGACATGTCGTCTTTTATCTTCTTTTTCTTTTTCTTTGACAAGAATAAAAAGATGACTGTGAGCAAAACTATATAGAGAGCCTCAGTCACATGAGTGTTGCACCAATCCCAGCTGGGGTGTTTGAAACTGGGAGCAAGCAGCGCTGAGCCCACTCAATGTGCTTCGTCCCAACCAGTGGGTTTTCCTCTCTCTCTCTCTCTTTCTGTGTAAACTGACAAATACCAATGAATATACCTGTATGTTTTATAATGTTGCGCACAGATTTAAAAGGCGTTTTTGGAAACAGTTTTTTCTTTTATTGGCAAGAAGAGTTATTGCTGTAACACAGGCTAATAGGCAAAATATAAAAGAATGTTTTTCTACATTAGCAACAACACCCCCGAGAGTAAAAATCACTTTTTCTTTTTTAATCAGAGGTAAACATTCACTCTTTCAGAGTATCTGCTCAGGTGATGATATGGACGATCACATTATTCAGGCAGTACTATGGAGACAGGGTATCTTCTCCGGGAGGTGTTGGAAGGTGGCTGGGGCACTAAGTAAGCCAAAAGGAAATGTGTCAAATTGGTAAACACCATGTGGAGTGCTGAAAGAGGTCTTTGTCATTAACTTTGAAGATAAGGGAATCTACCAGTAGCCATTTGTTAAATCCAGTGTCATTAAAAAACACGGAGTGGACAACAAGTACAGGAGACTAGATGTGAGTGACACTGGCTTCAACATATACACACACGCTAGTTCACAATAATAACAACAGGGCAACACCAGGCACTCTGCGACTCTTCCGTTAGCTCCATCTCTACCATTGCGTTCAGTCCTTTCAGAGTCACCTTTTTCTCGTGTGAGTAAGATCGTACCATCTCACAGTCATTGTAACGTTGTATGAGATTTGTGTTTCCTAGCTAAGGAACAACACCCAATGACAAACCTACAACTTGGTATCATCTGGCCTCTGGACCAGCGAGAGATGGTCCTCAGAAAGGAGATGGCTGAGATTTGGAACCTGCGGCCCCAACTCATCTCTGTCATTCACAGGGCTCACCAGAGAAACAGGCTCCACATCCTTACTTGCTTTTAGGAGACCGAGGTGGTAGATTTGTTTCTCTCTGTCCCCTGATAGACAGATGCATCAACACACTGTCTGTAGATGCATCTACATGAATGACTGGGCAGGTCATCTGCTTCTATCATTTTATGCAGATGAAGCTGGAAATTGGTGACAACGGCACAGACGACACCATCATACCCTCCCTGCACCACTCGGGGAGCAGTTCCGGGTGCCATTGATTAGCCACTCTTGCTTCGCATGAATTACAGACATTTGATGCATTTAGGAAACAACTGATGATTTATTAACTGTTTCCCACATGGAGTAACAACACTCACGTCACTTTCCTCAGCTGGCACTACTCCTCCTGGCAGCTGGATTAGAGATTCTGCTACACTCACTATTACAACACGCTGGTAAAACACAGAGTTTCACAAGTTTGTTTTGTTTGAGTTTGAGAGACAGACTGCCTCTCCGGTTGACCTTTGAGCTCATAAATCGAGCTTCCTCTCACTCATTCTGCTGAGGGTTGCACTCGGCACTTCTTCACTCCAGCATTTCATTACATCTTTCTTTTCTGTCTGTTTCCCTTCATCAGTGTTTTGTTCTGTCTACTTTTCTCTTGTCTTTCTTCTTTTCCCCGCACACTGGTCGCAGCTGGCCCTTCCTTGAGCCTGGTTGTACCAGAGAAACGGGAGTTTTTTTTCCTTCACACTGTCACAAAGTGCTTGCTCACACTGGCTGGCTTGATTGTTGGGGTTTCGTCCAATTCTGTAGTGTCTTTACCTCACAGTATGAAGAGCATTGAGGTATCTGCTGTTATGAAATAGCGTTATATAAATAAACCTGGCCTAATGTTGTTTTTTCATTTTTTTAAACAGCGTAAAAACTAATGAATTTAGACAAAAACTCACAATGTAATGAAATTATACAAGATAAAAATACAAAAATGAAGCAAAATACACACATAAACAGTTTGGGTCATCAAAGCAGCGCCAGGTGAAAAACAGCTCAGCTCCCCTCTCAGCAGATGTTACATGTAACAGCTAATTTTAAGTTGCTTAAGGGGTAAGGGTTGTGTAAGGGTAAGGGTTCCTGGAAATCAGGAATATTGACTCATCCTCGTACTTTCCCCTCTTCCCCTTAAGGCTGTGGCTACACTGTAGCTGCCATCACCAGTGTGTGAATGTATGTGTGAATGGGTGGATGACTGGATGTGTAAAGCGCTTTGGGGTCCTTAGGGACTAGTAAAGCGCTATACAAATACAGGCCATTTACCATTTACCATTTATTGACATACAGTAAACTCACTGAGCTTTAGTTTTAACCAAAAAACTCGCACATCTCAACCTGTAACTCCTCTAAGCATGCTGTACATTCAGCATACTTCTGTGCTGTTTGCAAACAGTGCTGTTTGCCATCTCAGTGAAGAGTTTCTGTTTTGATTTGCTGGGTCATACTTAGAGTGAGATTTTGGCAGCACAATTCTACTTTCACATTGTACTGGATGCTTTGAGCAGTAAGAATAAGAGCATTTTATAAATGCTCAGAAAGACACCTGATTTTATAGTTTAGGAATTAAAAAAGAGAAAAAAAAAATCACTGAAGAAGCCTGTGGGACTGTTACAACACAGTGCTAATTTTACATTATGTTTGATGCTTTGGCCATGGTAAAAACAACTGCTAAAACTCACTGAAGAAAGCTCAATGGGTGTATCAGGCTTAAGAAAACTGACAGACCTAAAGGGCATAGGTGTGATTTTACTGTTCTACTTGTATGAGACCTCCTACTAGTGATGAAATGGAGTCATTACACCTTACAGTTGATCCTAACAGCAGGTTTGTTTGGGTCTGAAGTTAAAAATCTGCTGAAATGAAAACTACTGCCGTAGCACTTTTAGGTTGTAGACATAGGATTTAAAGAGTGTCAACTGAGACATGTAAATACCCCCAAAACCTTTAACTCAGACAAACTTACTGGCGTTTATCCTTCTGGGCTCAAGTTGTAAGAAAAATAATAAATATAGCTGATTGCCTGTCGAGCAGCTGACATTTGGCATTTCAACATTAAAAACTCGTGTTTTACTTGTGAATTTTGCCTCGAGTGTTCTGAACTTTGACCTTTACAAAATACAGTCCACACATGCCTTAATGTTAGTCATAGACTACAAGGAACACAGAACTGGGCTATCCAGTGAGCAAAGACCACTTAATCCTGCTTTCTTTTTTTTATGCTTGTTAAGCCCCTTTAATATATGTTATATGGGGCTATGCAAATAAAACCAAATTGAACTAATCCATGTAACAAGCCCTTATATGTTAGTTAAAGTGACGCAAACTATCAATTACCAACATACGGACTAATTTTGACTCGTTTAACCACAGCACTACATCACACACTGTCAATAATTTATTGTTTTGTTCCAAGTTTTAGCCACAATGAAACAACACAACACAGATGCAAACACCGATGCTTTGGTTCACTCTGGTTACCTACTGTAATGAGATAAGTACAGTACTGAATTTGCAAGCTGTACATACATGCATTGACATTATAATCTGAAAATACTCTATACAGTATATCCAACACCATACGGCCGTGAGGCATTCACAAACAGAGAGGAGCTGACGTCCCTCTGGTCCTTTGTCTTAAAAATTAAAAGCAGAAAAAGTGCCGAAATAGATGAAACTGTTCTGAAATCCTAAAGTCACCACACAACAACAGAAGAACAAGTTACAGTACTCATGTATTACAACCTTGTGATTCTTGAATTCTACAATCAACAGTTGTAAGTGCTTATACTGGAGGTGTGACAGGTAAGCAGCAGCAGCAAGGTAAAGTAGGGTGTTTTTATTCTGTAAAGTAGTGGAGAGTGACTGGGCCTCAGCTCCATCAAACCTCAGACAAATAACTGTGGTGTGTTGCTAAAGAGCTTCTGAGAAGTCTGGAAACACCCTGCGTACACAGCTGGCTGGCTTTCCAACCTAAACAGTCAGAAATATGAGATGTACACACACCTCAGGAATCACAGCAGGTCCAGAGACTGTTGTCACAAAACATCATCAAAGTGAGGCAGAGGTGAAACATCAGGAGAGTTTGTCCAAAAATCAAACTTAATGTCTAATAGTGATAGTCTTGATGATAACATTTGAAGCTCCATATTTGGCATTTATAAGCATATGCAAACATTTAATGGTTACATAGCTGGATTCATGTATTTGTTAATAACTGTGACATGACAGTATAGTCAAACGTAGCTCTAAATCAATAGAATATCTTGATGTTATAACCAATTAGTAAAAATAGGTACGCTGAGTCATACTATACTGGTCACAAATATACATTAAATGTTTATATATAGCTTTAAATAAATGTCAAACAGTGGAACTTTTAAAATAAAGTGACATTGCAGTACATGTTTCCATTAGACTAGAATTTGCCTCACACAAAGCTTCAGGGCATTTATCTGAAGACAGGCTGATGAAGACTCCTAGCATGTTATCTCTACACTGTTATCACATATAATATCTAGATAATTACTGAAATAGGTCTTAAATATTGGTACACTAAAATTAAAGGAACTTTTCCCACCTTTGCTTATTACAAACATGCACGTCCTGCTCTGTGTAGTGGGCAGCAGCTTTTAACTTGTTTATCAGAATACACCTTTACGTTACTGCCTCATGGTTTGCTGACACAGCATCTTTTGCTGTTGTGTTTTTTGTGTGCTATTCTCTTCATAGTTGTCACCAATGAAGCAGTAATTAGATTATATCTGTATACAAATATCTCAACATTCCCTGTGCAACATATATTTTATGGTATATGGAGCCATCTGATGATCACATGTCTTTGCAAATGTACAGAAAGAAACTCCTCTTCTTCGACTTCTCTCGAACATATTTGACTGAGGGTGGATGGAGTGGACCGAGGCATGTTTTATTACTTTAGAAGTGTTGATTGATTTGGTGGGATATCCCTTTATACACCCGTCTCTCCTAATTCACAGTACAGTTCAGGCCTCCTCATCGGTGGCACTTGGGGAGCGCTCCTGAAAAAAGGAAACAGAGATATGTTTTAGTTGACTGGGAAAGACTTCTAGTTTCACACATTTTACAGGTTTCCTGAGATATCCTGCAAACTAAGAAACAAAAAAAACAAACGTGTATATTTGTGCATCTACCTGCACTGAGCAAAAAACTATCAATCCCATAAAAATTCCCCACACAAATGCTTGCAAGGTTTAAAGGAAAATGACAAAAAAGTTACCTCTTCCTGCTCATCCTCAGAGTCATCATCACTGACGACCGGCTTTGCTCTGGTGCGTCCCGTCCGTCTGCTGCGTCCCTTCCCTCGATCTCCACCTTTATCCTTCCTGCTCAGACGGATTTTCACCTTCACTGAACGGGCTGGAAATCAACACACATGGAAAGAACATGTTGTCAGAGTAATCATACAGAGAATTTTGAGATGTTTGCCAGAGGACATAAAAGGACAAACTCAATCTAAATCAGTTAGGACACAGTCAAATACAACTGAACAGTTTCTCCTCTTTATGCACGACATGCACAGGCATGCTCACATTCGGACTCTGATCCTTCCTCCTGCTCTTCCTCCTCTTCTTCACTCTCCTCTCCCTCACTTTCCTCCTCTTTCTCGATCTTCTGCCTCAAGCTGGTGAATACCGACTGTAGAACGATGGAGTCCTCGTATATCTGCTCATAAACACAGCGGGCAGATGCTGATTATGATCATGTGGCTGCAGGGTAAAGCATTCAGCCTCAACACATCATTTAAACACCAATCATTTATCAGCAACTAGTAATTAAATGTCTGATACATTGCCCTGCATGATGAGTTTTCCTATGAGGTCTTTTATGCCTTAATGCGACCTCAGAGTGCTCGCTTTCGTCAGCTTTAATCAGGCTTCACTTTCAACTGTAATCCATCCACAGGAACTAATATGTACCAGTTAAATAACACAAATTCTATACAGCACATCTGTCTCACCAGCGACCCCTCCAGGTTGAAGGTCTGAGCATTCTGGAAGAGCAGCATGACGTCTCTCTCCAGGTCACCCAGACTGCGGTAGCGATGACTTCGAATCCTCTCCTAACATTGAAGACGCAGCACAAACATTGGGTATGTAAGCGAGAGAAAAACACACCAAGCGAGTCTGTAAACCTTTAAACACGTTTTTTTTAATGTGCTCTGCTGCAGGAATGAAAACATGTTACAAATAACACTATTTAATCTTACCTTGATCTTCCTGAAGTCTACCGGCTTGCGGATGAGTTCGTAGTACTCGGGCAGCTCTTTTCGAGACGGCAGCTGGATAAACACCTCGCTCAGCTGACGCCCACTGGCGCTGCAGGACATGACATTATTATCACGAGACCAAATATCTGAAAGTGCGCAATATCAATCCAATTGATCATAGCTCTCAAAGCGAGTTTGCTGTTGGCTATTTATTAAAAGTGTTACAGGGTTTTTTGCCACCCCAGACACGTGAATGTGTTTAGTCCAGTCAAAATATAAACTGCCACCCCGGTCTTCCTAAAGACCAAACCTAACAACTGCTATCAGATCCTCTTATCATTATATACATTTGGCATAATCTTCAGTCTCAGCATTCATGAAATCACTTTGTGACATCATGGGGTCTACAATCTGGGGTTTTTACCCCTTTCTCATGACACAAAGAAAGCCTGGCAGGTTGAACTTTCTTTCTAAATCGACTAAAATGACTGAAAAAAAGTTTCAGATTTTCCACAATCACAATTTCTGCTACCTGTCTTTGTATTTGATGACAGCGTCCACAATTTTCTTCATCTTCTTTGTGAGGGTGGGAGGATTTGGTGAGAGTTTTTCGACAGGTGGCCGTCCCCTCTTCCTCTGCCTCTTCCCATCATCATCTTTATCCCCCCGTCCACGTCCCCCTATGGAAGAGGAGGGACCAGGGAGATCCAGGTCACGGTCTCGCTTCCTCTTGCGCGTCGTCTTTTTGTGCCGCACCTCTTCCTCCATCTCCTCCAGTGTGCCTTCCTCTATCGCCTGAACAGGGAAAGATACAGAGTGAGAGATTAGCATATAAGTGTTAAAATTAACCCCCCCACAAATTTGCCTTTGCCTCCAGAAAGCCAGTTAGTTTAGAATTTATATCCTGAAATCTTTGTCTCAGGCGCACCTTGAGCCACTGCTTCTCAGTCAGCGAATCGCTGTAGTCCACTTCCTTCCGTTGTCGGGAACCTCGGCCAAACATTTTCTCCTCCTCTTCCTCACAGGTAAGTCGCTCAACCTCAGCATCGTCCTTCATGATCCACGTGGGCAGCTCGTCCTCCTCCATCAGCCGTGGTTTTCGTCGTGGGTTACGAGCCTCCTCGCGGCGTCGGTCCAGGTCCATACGCTACGGAAGCAAGAAGAAGAAAACACAGGGAAAGATGTGGGGACACAATATTATTGCGCGGTTGAATCTCTACCTGACATTCAAACACACAGAAACTCACCATGAACAGCTCGAACTCCTCTTCACTCCTAGCAATCATCTGGTTGACCGTCTCATCATCTGGCACCTCATCCTCCTCCTGAATACAGCAGACACACAATGGCAGGTAGAGCAGAGGAAAGCACACTCTTTAAATTGTGTGTTGGCGATGCACGCACACACATTCATGTGTAGGCACACGTCTTGACCCCAGACCTCGTCTTGCTCCTCGTGCTCCAGGATGGCCTGCAAAAAGGCCCTGCGCTCGTGGCTGGAAGACTTCTGGTCGAACATGCCGGCCTGGATAACTTTTTGATCCACATTTAGTTTGTATTTGGCCGCTGCCAGGATTTTCTCCTCGACACTGTTGACTGTACAGAGACGTAGCACGCGTACCTCATTTTGCTGACCAATGCGGTGAGCTCTGTCCTGTGCCTGCAAGTCCTGGGTAGGAGAGAAAGATAAAGAAAGTTAAGCTGTGGAGCCCAAACCTTGCCATTTCTGCTTTCACTGTCAATAAATTGTGAACACTACAATATTAAATACTGAAACCTAAATATCTTCCCCAGTATTCTGAGGACAGACCCTGGACTTTTATCTTCAGCCTCTAAGTGCGAAAAAAAAAGGCAAATCAAAGCTGATATGAGCTTGAATGCTGATTTGATTAAAAAAAAATCAATATAAATATGCATCACACCTGATGTGGGTTCCAGTCGGAGTCAAAAATAACTACAGTGTCGGCAGACTGCAGATTGAGGCCGAGGCCTCCAGCCCTTGTGCTCAGGAGAAAAATAAAGTACTCTGACTCTGGGTCATTGAATGTCTTCAGTAACATTCCTCTATCCTCAGCCTTTGTTGTGCCTGAGAGGTATGAAGGTGGGAAATAAGAGGAAATGCAGGCAATAATTCACAAAAAAGATAAACCAAAGGGAAACTAATAAAAAGGGGACAACAAGAACTGATACGCATACAGATCAGTGTCTCACCATCCAGACGCAGGTATTTGAAGTTACGGTAGGCAAAGTAGTCCTCCATGATGGTCATGAGTGAGGTCATCTGACAGAAAAGCAGCACTTTGTGGTTTGTGGCTCTCAGCTTTGGCAGAATTCGATCCAGCACCTCAAACTTTCCCGATGCCCGATACAGGTCAGGACTGAGGGAGCGAAAGGAGGATTTTTTTTTTTACAAAGGCTGCAGTTTGTTTGTGTGTGTTTGAGATCAGGACCTAAAGAGGAAGCAGTACTTACCCCTGAACTATCCCACCAGAGAATCCTAAATGTTCAGAGAAGGATTCCTACAAACACAATGTACAACCGAACATTTCAGTTCAACGGTGGCTTTATTTTGATGACCGTTAGCTCACTGACACATCAAACAGAAGTCAGAAATGGCTGCTGTTATCCTCAGAAATTCTCTTTATTATAATAACAAAGAGAACCTCTGATGATAAGAGCAGGACTGAGAAACACAGGCAAATAACTACAGACAAAGTATTTATGTGTCGGGCTCGTCAGTGTTACCTCTATTTGCTGAAACATATAAGGGTGATTGCAGATCTTCCTCAGCTGCATGATGGTGTTCATCAGTGTCTTCGTGCCCCCTTTACCCTATTGACCGTGATATGATAAAAATGTTTTTACTGCTAATAACTGGGAAGTGTGGGGCGTGGACTTGAAGTACATGTAAAAAAAAAAATCCAACATGGAAAGAAAAGCGTCTGGACTTTCTTTCCAAGCTCCTTAGACTACGATGACCTGGATGACTGACAACCTTCACAGACATAATACAATACAATACTTCAAATTATGTGTTCCTTCACCTTCTTGTCTTTCTCTGATCCATCAGTGAGCAGGACTCCCTTGGCCTGCATGTGCCTGTAGAGGACTCTCTGAAGAGAAGACATGTCACACTTGATCACATACTCCACCTGAGGGATAGGAGAAAAACATGTGTTTCCATTAAGCATGCATGCACAACATCAGAACAGAAAAACTTCATTTTCTATACGTCTCCTCAAGAAATGATGCTAAAGAAAACAAGAGCTGCTTAAACGGGATGTTGCCTTTACAGTGCGTGTGAAACATGCCTTTTCTGGAAGCTGTGCCTCCACCTCCTTCTTCAACCTCCGTAACAGGAAGGGGCGTAGCACTTTATGGAGACGACGAATAATCAGAATTGTCTCCTCTTCATTAAGGTCCACCTGAAGCGGAAAAAAGAGAAATTTCACACTCTTATTTAGCAAAACAGACCCCTGCTGCAACCTCAAAACTCTTCCTATATTTCTGCACACCTTCTCTCCAGTCATAGCGAAAGGGGCGTTAAACCACTGTTCGAAGGTGCTGCAGCACTTGAAGATAGTGGGCAAGAGGAAATTGAGCAGCGCCCACAGCTCAGGAAGTTTGTTCTGCAGCGGCGTCCCCGTCAGCAAGACGCGCCGCGGAGCAAGGTAATGGGTGTTCAGGACCTGGGTCAGTTTACAGTGGTGGTTTTTCATGCGGTGGCCTTCGTCTACAATCATGTACTTCCAACGGATCTGAAGGAAAGAAGAGGATCACGTGGGCGAAACCACAGTGCCAATACCCTGTATCACTGCTCCTGTCCAGCCACATCAAACCAATAACTGAAAGTGCGTAAAAGGAGGATTTTTTTTTTGTCCACTTTGTCCTGATGACTCAAGTTGGCCCAGTCCCAGGTTAGTACCTGTAACCATCACATGGGAAAGCCTTGCCTGAAGCGCAACACCCACCTGTGAGCACAGTCAGGAACCCTATATGACTACATGAGTGCATAGCAGCATGATGGTCACAGAGGACAGTGGGAGACGTGGTTTACAGGTCGTGTCAGTGTGTTGCAGGACCTAGGAGAGAGAGCACTGAGATGCAGGGGGAGGTCAGATTGGCCAGACTCAAAAACTTTTAGAGGATTTGGGGGGATTTAAGGAGCCAAAGACACAAAAACCTTAAGTAAAACAGAAGTATGATAAATAAGGTATGAAAAGAAACAAAATGTTTTTAATCTGTAAAGGAAAATCTACGCCATCACAGCCTCAATGTGTTCGCTCATTTCCTTGAGTCTGTGTTTGTCCGTGCAGTCAAACTCACCTTGGCCAGTACTTGTTTGTCCTTGATGATGTACTCATAAGTGGTGAGCAAAACATTAAACTTGCCACTACGCAGCTGAGGGACAAACGCTCTTCTAGCAGCAGGAGACCCCTAAAAAAAAAGGTTCAATATCTCAATAATTCTTTAGAAGATTTTAAGATAAAGACAGGCATGCCTATTTTTGTGTTACCTTGTAAGACACTTTAACGACTGATGGCGCCCATTTGTCAAACTCATACACCCAGTTAGAAAGAGTTCTGTCAATGAGAGACAGCTTACGTGTAGTTAAACAATTTATTACCGGTACATTCGTCTTTATTTAAGTGCTGTGCAGGACTGAAACACTGTCATAGCAAAAGCGTGCGAGCTCACGAAAGAGGTACAATGATGAGGTAGGGTCCGTTGAGCCGTTTGTGCTCCATGAGGTATGTGATGAGAGCGATAGTCTGGATGGTTTTTCCCAGACCCATCTCATCAGCCAGGATCCCATTCAGGTTGTTGTTGTAAAGAGAAACCAGCCACTCCAAACCTTTAATCTGAAAGTCCAAAAAAAAGAAGGAGGGGGTTATTTATTACTGCTTTGAAATCTGAGAGACTCTGTTTCCTATGATGTCCCACTTCAATGTAAAGTCCTACTTTTTAAGAATCTGCCAAAAAGGACACTCACATAGAAAATCGTAAAAAAAACATCCCAAGAAAATAAGAAAACATTAATGTGGGCATTAAAGAAATACTTATTTTATTGAAACAAATAGAATATTGATGGCAATGGTATAAGAATCTATGGGGGTACACCTATAGTAGTTTTTGAGTGCATGCTGGACAGATGGCTCAACAAATCTATAAGATTTACTATAAATTAAAGGAAGAATTAATTGGGTCTGAACAAATTTGAGGAGAAAGGCTAACAGAAAAGGCAAAAGTAATAGATAAGTAGTGGAAATAGTCAAAAGAAATTATGAAAGAATAAAATAGAAAACGTTAGCCCCCCAATAGACCCTATGACAGCTGCCTCCCTAAGCTAAAGAGAATAGATAGACGGATGCAAAATAGAAAAGCCTATATTAAAAAATTCTACCCCTTCCATCCATCCATTCGCTTCCACTTATCCTTTTCAGGGTTGCAGGGGGCGCTGGACCCTATCCCAGCTATCATAGGGCGAGAGGCGGGGTACACCCTGGACAGGTGGCCAGTCTGTTGCAGGGCCAACACACAGAGACAAACAACCATTCGCACTCACATTCACTCCCGCATTCACACCTATGGGCAATTTAGACTAATCAATTAACCTATCCCCACTGCCCACTACCCCTCCGCCTCAAATTAATTTGAAAATCCTACCTTGTTTTGTAAGAAAGAGCGTTTCTTTGTAAGTCAGCAAACTTACAAATTCAGCAGAGGATCAAATAATTATCTCCCCCACTGCATTTTGTAATAAAAAGCCTGAAAACCACTGAATTATGGCAACCTTCAAATTCATTCGCCTTTTAATGTCTCTATGTCTTTAATTAATATGGCAACAACCAAAAGAAGAAGCAGAGTAAGTGCATAATTTCCTTTGGGATTATTAAAGTATTCTGATGAAGTATAAACAATATCCAGTCCTGACCAGCGTGCAGCTAAAGATGTAAAATGTCTGAACTGCAGGATTTGTCAGTGCTTCGTGTACTTGCTTGTGCTTGTTCACCTGATACTGTTTAAGCTGCCCATTTATCAACAAGCTGGACTGTTTCTCCACCTTCTCTGTGACAGCGTGAGCCACAGAGTAATACGACTGGAGTCCTCGAGCAAACGCTGCACCGCTATACTCATCGTCCACGTCCTGTTTAGCATTTCTGTAAAATGACACGTAAAGTCTTAATCAGTCACAAAATTAATGACATTTGGTGGAATTCGCTGTATTTAAACAGCACATACGTTGCACAAAAATGAACGTTACATGAACTCACTCAATGATGTGTCGGACGTCCACCTCTGACACATCTTCACTGTCTGGGTCTGTAATCTTCATCTTGTCCTCTACTGGAGCTGCCGAAGGCTGAGGCTCCTCTTCTTCCTCCTGAGAGACAGCATGTGAACTAAAAGTTGCTTTTAACTCCCACTGGATGAACGAATATGAAGTGGCTTCAAACACATCTCACAAAAAAAATAAAAAAATAATTAAACCAACCTCCTCCTCTTCCTCCTCCTCGCTGTCTTCACTGTCTGAGCGGGGAGCCACCTCATATCTGGACAAATTTACATAAATACACTTTGAAAAAATTTGTCCCTTGATATTGTCCTTTAACGCTGAAAGTAGCTGTCAGGGAACGACAAAACCGCTGAATGACAAATAATGACAAAGAGAAGATGTTGCTGTTCTTGAACATTTTGAATAAGTGGGGCAGAAAAGTATATATGAGACTATTTTGTTAAAAACTAAATTTCTCCAAATGATTTAATCATCCGTAAAGCTCAATCTCTATCTGTGCTGCGGGTGTCGTTATGCTCAGCTGTGTCATTTTAAGTAAATGCTAATCACTTGTACAGTTAGTATGTGGTTGTGTGAAATTTTGAACAATTGGACAGATCGCCAGTCTATCGCAGGGCTAACATACTGAGACAGAGTCAAAGGAGCTTGCAAAGAAAAGCGTCTGGACTTCTTTAAGTTGCTTGAAGATGTTTCACCTCTCATCCGAGAAGCTTCTTCAGTTCTAAGGTCAAATGGTGGAGAGTCCCAGATTAAAACC